GATAGAATGTCATAGTTTGTCTAAGACTCTAAAAATAAGAGTTCTATATTATAAGCCTACAACCAATGTCTGCGGCCCAATGGGCCAATGGGCCAATGGCTGATCTCTGCAAAATTTTTTGAAAAATATTTTATTGGGCTGTCGTCACCTGCAATCAGAAAACTAAAACATATCTGATTTAATTTTTTTATGAGATATATCATGCAATTAATTAGTTAAATTAAATATAAAGAGAATGAAGAAGACATAATGAATGTTCTTATAAGAAAAGTTTTATAACTTATATCATCTTTTATATCCACGAGAAAAAAATATGAATAATTTTTATAAAAATATTATTAATAATATATAAATAGTTTAATTAATATAATTAAATTATTTATATAAGCATAAAATATAAATAATTTTGTCTTTGACTATTTGAACAAAAGGAATGCATGCTTGTTGTATATGCATGATGGTTCTAGAACGATCAATATATTCATATGGGTCAGCTATCTAATCATAAGACTCGGTAATTGAAAGCTTGAATCATGTTAGTACAGGGTGTTTGAGAACTATATCGGCCAAAGTAGAATACTCTTGAAACTATGACGAGTAAGAAGATAGCTTTTGTCTCTTAAGGAGACTCTTATTGAACTAGACATTGTAGCTCACCATGAATTACATGAGGAGTCGAGTCATATTCTCCCTGAGTGTTAGAGGTTTATAATTTGTTCCAGCTATATGAGAAGGATTTGTAGAACTTGCAGTATCAGGGAGGTTAACATCTTGGTCCGGTTGGGGAGGAACTCCAATAAGAAGGGGTGATGAACAAATATTTTGTAGTTGGGCATATTCCTGATTGATGGTTGATCTTGGGTAAATGAATGCCACACTGTGCTTATAGTGATGGTGAAACTTTTTGTAGAAGCTGGAGAATCTCATTTTGAAATTTATACATTCTCTGTACATGATTTTACGAGGGCAAAAAGGGAGGAAGCTTTAACAACAGGGCTACAAGGGAGAAAAAGAGCGGAGAGTTGGTGTCCCCGACTTTGGGATTTCCTCTAAAATGATGAGTGTTGGAGCGGGAGGCTCCATTATTACGTGTATTAAGTTTATAAGCCATTGAAAAGAGTGCCCAAACTTCTGTGACGATGAGATTTATTTTTCATAAATGGCGTCAAACTATTGTGCTCCAAAAAAAAATTAATGACAGAAAAATCATATATCTTATCTCAATATAATTTTTCAATAGTCACACAAACAAGGATGTAAGATACAACCATATTTATTACGTGCAATAATACCGAAAAGAGAAAAAATCATGGGGTCTGACCAAGTTAAAAGTAATTCACTATAAAATTGAAAGTACATAGGTTCAATCTTCTTTTATATTAAGGATGATGAGATTATAAGATGATGGTAGATACAACAACCGTAGCTAATTATAAAGCATGTAATTGGTTGTTACAATATAATAGTTGGCCATAACAGATAATTTGGATGGTCAACAATGACATTTGGTGGCCGACAATGACATTTGGTGGCCGACAATGAACTTTGATAGTCGATAAAGATCTTTAGTGATCGACGACAAACTTTTGTGTGATGACAACTACCAAAAGCTTAAGAGTTAAGCTTTTGTAGTTAGCTCACTCCCTTCCTTCACCCTCCAGAAGTGAAAACGTGGGCTTATTTATAGTTTTTAGACGGAATTTTGGTAAAATCGGTCAATCTCTCAAAACTCTTTATCAAACAGTCCACCTTGAATCACTTGATTAGATATATTTTTTTACAATCTTTGAGCGTCTTAATGACATCAAAATTGAATGATTTTAAGCTCGTTGGATTCCTTTCATCTAGCCGCTCAATTTGATCATAAACATGATGCATTTTAAAATTACTTGGTCTTTCAATTGATGCATCAAAACATTGTACTATACTTTAAGTGTTCAGACTAAGGTTATTTGGACTCGAATTTCATTACTTTTGGCGTCATTGGGTTTGTCTTATCGAAATGATCAATTTGACAATACTTATTAAAATCAGGATTGAGAAAATCATGAATTTGAATTTAGAAAGTTTTTTGCTCAAATGCATCGAGGTTCGTGTATGAAGATAAAAATTTATTGATGTGCATCAATAAGCATATATTTTTATTGAATATTTATTAGATGAATGCTTATTTTGATTTAAAAAAATGATGAATCCTTTTTTCAAGGAGGCAAATTTCTTATTCTAAATGCCTTTTCATAGAAGTAAGTTAAGATATGCAAATTATTCATTAGGAGTTGAGATGCTCATAGATTTTAATCAATTAATCTAAATTAGAATGCCTAAACTTAAATTAAGAGATGCACTCATCCAAACATCACAAGATGTTGAAATTAAAAACTGCAAATTTGAGGAAATGCATTGTGTTTGAATTTTATTTAGTTATATAATTTATGGTTTACAAATACTTGGATATTCCAGCAACATAAGTTGATAAAAGCACAGAGATGATGCATGACTTGTCACTACATATATAAAATCATGACAATGAGTTAGAATGTCATATCATTGTTAGAATAATCTATAAAAATTATAGTTGTGCATGTATTTTGAGGGCAGAGCGTTTTACAAAGAATCATAGCTCTAACATTTCCTACACTTTTAATGATGTTGACAAGTCTTTCAAAGGATTTTACAACATAGCTACAATTGGATCAAAGATAGATAGTGAGCAAAACATACCCTTACATCACATGAGTATGAAGAAGGTTAACTACAAAATATGAGGCCAAAAAATATGAAATATTTCATTGAAATCTTTAAAGATACAGATGCATGAAAGTACAAAGACTTATAACCAAACTAAATTTTCTTCATAATACACCAAGTCATCACCTTACAATGAACTCTCTCCATGATCCATCTCACACAACAACACTCAATCTCTCTCTCCTCCAAGAATCTCTTTAAACTCAAAAGAAAAAGAGCCTTGGAAGCTTTCACCCTAAATAAAGAAGGAAGAAATTCATAGGGCTTGAAAAGTTCATATGTCTGGAAGTGAAACCCTTAACGCCTGCTGAAAGAAACCCTACAAAGTGTTGCCCTATCATCCAGCATATCCTTATATAGAACTCGCCCAAACCGCCATTGAATAGGTTGCCAAAAATGAACCAAACAGATCGCGATGTGGATGCGCCGGCGTCCAACGTAGTTACACCATAGAATGGTTTAGTTACGTTGAGGTCTGGTATAGTTACACCAGGCACAGCTCCATGGAATCACCAAAACAAGAAGACTAGAATAATTATGTCGCATATTTACAGTGCTATTCAATCATCCACTCCTCATACACTCAACTCTTCCCACACACAACTGGAACACATGCATTCCAATAACTCTTCACATAGACAAGATGGCAATACACAACCCTCCAATTCACCATGTATGTCACCAGCACACACCACACTTGAACTCACTTCACCAGTACACACTATTATGTATCAATTCTACCGGCCACACCAAACGCCCACAAAAATCACATTGTATGACAACTAGACTTCAAAATGGTTTTCTCAAATCCACAAAAAACTTACAACAAAACACTACAAATGAAGAACCCACCATATTTACTCAGGTTGTTTTGTTAAACAATCGCATTGGAGACATAATCTCTAAAAAATTCATGACCTTACAACAACAAGAAAAATGGGCGTTAGTTCCACCTCCCTCTAATCAACAATGTTTTAGGCTGTTAACGGACTTTTAAAACCAAATACATGCAAATGATACCATTGCTAGATATAAAACAAGACTGGTGGCCCAATGTTTCTCTCAACAAAAAAAGCATAGAATGTCAAGAAATCTTTTGCCGAGTTGCCAAATTTCCCACTATCAAGATGCCCATTAAACTTGTTGCCACTAAAAAATGAGAAATTCAACAACTTAACATATCAAAAGCATTCTTCATGGTAAACTTTAAGACATTGTTTGTACGAGTCAAGCTCCCGACTTCACTGATACGAACCACCCTCACTATGTTTGTAAACTTCACAAAGCTATTTATGGTCTTAAACAAGCACGTCGCCAGTGGTACTCAACATTTTGTAATTTTCTTTATGCACAATATTTTAAATTAAGCATTGTCGATCCCCCCTTCCTTATTTATCATCACAATACTACTAGAATGTATCTAGCATATGTTGATATTCTAATCACTGGCAACTCTTCCAATGCTATCACATCCTTAATTCACATCCTCAGCAAACAATTTAATCTAAAATAATTAGGTCATATTTCACACTTTCTTAGCCTATAAATTCATCACACATTCATAAGATACTTTTTTAACCAAACTAAATATTTTACAAAACTTCTTGCCAACATATACATGCTGCAATCTAGGTATGTCTTGACAACACATCCTCACAATCACACTAGCAACCCTACAACCCTGATAGAATCCAACAACTACAGACAGACCATTAGATCTCTCCAACATCTCACGGTTACTAGACCTATTCTCAACCGACACATGCACAATTCCAACACTCTACATTGTCAACATCATAAAGTATTTAAAAGGTACCCAAAATTATGGTCTTCCTGTCACTGTAAGTTCTATTTTTCTTACATGCTTGTGCAGATGCATATTGGGCAAGTGATAATGTGGACAGAAAATCTACCAAGTTTCTGCATATATGTAAGTCCCAATTTTATCTTTTGATCAACAAAAAAAACAACCGACAACTCAATCTCCTACCAAAGCCGAATACAGGGCTCTAGCCAGTACTGTAATGGAAATTCTATGGCTACTTCAACTATTCCATGAACAGACCAAAGCTTCAACACCTCTGACAAACATCTACAATGATAGTAAATCTACTATTGCCCTAGCATAGAATCTTCTTTCATGCTTGACGTTGACTACCACTTCATCACTAATTTCAACAATTGCATATAAACGCCATTCAATAAAACAAAACCTCAATACATATGAAATTCATCACTTGAAGAAAAACAACTGAGGTACTAACAACTATATGAAAACCATTTTCATAGACATGAAATCATATTAAGCAACTCTCGGATAACACGAAGAAGCACGGATACATCCAACCATTCATTCAAAAACAGTAACAACATCACCACCGTCCATCACATACACCTAATACATTCACATCTTAGCTCTGGAAGAAGCCAATTAATAAACCCCAACCAACACCTACACACCAAATCAGCTCTCAAAAGCAAAAAAGCAAGCTTATTATTAACCCCACAACACCACCAATCACTCTTCAGAATGGTTCTTATTGGCCACATTGCAGTGGCGGCGAATTTCTCCTTGATCGCCGGTGAGCGGGTTGTTCTCGGACAGGAGGGTGATCGCCCGCGCGAAATGCAGGAAGAAGTAGTCCTGACTCTTGGCCATCTTCTTCACATAGGGTCGGGTTCGCGGGTCATGGGCCAGCTCATGGTCCACCATCAACAAGCCCTTGTTATCCAAAATGTTATTGTAGTAGTTGTTGTCCAGCTTCATGGGAGTGCCGCGATCGTTCCTTACATACTGGACCGCCTTCGGGTCGGGGATCGGGTCGTAGCATTTCTTCAGCATGTGCGGTACATGGTCCGGGTTTAAGGCCGGGTCGACCTCAGGGTACAGCCGGTGCACCAACTTCACACAATGGGTTCGGCCCACGCTGTGGGCCCCTGCGAGCCCATTTTAATAAGCCAACAATGTTAACAAGAGTATGAAAAACAATAAAAACAAATCAAACACTATTCGTGGAGCAGGCTTCATGATGTGCGGGTGCATGGCCTCAGTGACCCATTATGAAGTGGTAACTTTGAAAGAAAGTGCTCGTTGAAACTTTAGAGCACAAAGAAGATGCCTGGCAGCATGATTATTGGTGTCCCATTTGTTTTTTTGTAAGGATTATGTTTATGAATAGTTTAGATGATTAATGTTAAAAAGCTCTAGTTAAAGATTAATGAGAACAAATTAGAAGTTAAAAAAATATGGTGGTGGTACAAGGTGCCAGACGGCAATCTTGTATGCATTCGAGATGGTAAAGTAAATGACGCACATGGGTAGGGTATGCTGGTACGAATAAAGACACGTAGAAATAAAAATAAAAATAAAAATTCAGAATTTATTATTTTTATTCTATTTTAATTTATCAAATGAATTGACGGGACAACAACTCAAATTTATCCAAAAACAATACGAATTAAATAATATTAATACTACAGCTGGGCTGAAAGCGAGAGACATTCTGGTCGAGATTAGACAAAATAATCGGTGTATGATGAATGATTTAAAATGGGTTGATGTATGATTAAGAATTAGGGAAATAAGAGGTCACTCAACGCAATTCCTACATAGGGCTGTTAAATCTGGCTCAAAATCGACTTAGATTTAGTATGGCTAGAAATCGGCTCCTAGCTAGTTATATTCTATTTTGAGCCGGCTTAAAATCAAAACGAGTTGAGTCTAATTGAGTTATTTGGATCAGCTTCAGCTCAGAAAAGGCTTGATCCAGTTCAAATTTGAACTAACTAGCTCAAACTGAATTATTTGGATCTATTTCAGCTTAAAATTGGCTAAAAATTAGCTCGTGACTCGTTACATTTAAATTTACTCACCGTTATATATATAATTTTTATAAATAAAAAAAACACTACGAGCCAATCCCAAGTCAGTTCGAGCCGATCTAAGTGGGCTCGAAATCAGCTTGAAAAAAATTTGATCCAAAATTTCAGCTCATAACTCAACTCGTTTATTTCAATCATATCTTGATCCTAGCCAAAATTCGATTTTCAAACAATAAAGCTAAATTCACAGCCCCTAGCCCTACATATTTAGTAGTAGAGACCACTCTAAATTTTCTATTTACAAATTAAGCACTCTCTTTCATCCATTTTTAGCAGGGTAAAAAAAAAGAAAGAGAATTACCGAGAAGAGCAACAACTCCAGGGGCGTCGATGCCCATATCTGCAAACTTATCCAAAACAGAAGAGATGCTCTCATTATGGTCCGGCAAATACTGCTCCACCACCTCCGATCTGCTCTTCCTCCCATCTCTCCTCCCCGTCTTCAACGGAATGAACGGCCCACCAACCTTCCATACAGTTCATCACAAAATCAATCCATCAATCCATACTCAAAAATATAAAGTTTATGCAGTATTCTGGTGATATTACGATGAACATCACTAAAATATCATCAAAATAGCACATTTCCAACAATTCATGAGAAAAAAAGAGAAATGTATAGGATTTAGAATACCGAAACGATGCCATCTCTGGCGGAGAGGACCAATATATCAGCGCAGGAAACGACGCCAGGACACTCCCTCTCCACTGCGTCCTTAATTTCTTCCAGATATCTGAAATTCCTCATGCCGAAGCTCCGGTCCGTCTCCTTCTCCGACAGCGTCTTTCTTGTGGAGTCCAGAAGCAGGGAGGCGTCGCAAGACTGGTAAAATGTCACTCGTAATATTTAGTGGTGATTTAAGGTTTATTTTGTAAAATAGCTTCTTCTTAAGGTGTGTAAAGCTTGCTTTTGCCAGTTTAGAGATTGAAAAAGTTGAATTCTTGGACAGGAATGCAGTAGTTCTAATCCCCTGTTTGGTTGCAGTCTGAAGTTATGTTGCCTAGAATTTAATTTTTATTTTTATTTTTTTATGTTTGGCTGCCTTTATGATTAAATTGATGAACATTATTTATGAATCAATTATTAGAGAAAAACCCAATTTTTAGTAATTAGAGTTACCTCTCAAAAAAATAGGAAAAATATTACATGAGGACTCCTACCGTAGAGTTAGGTTCAGAGTCCACTGACACGCGGACATGTGGCTTCAAGGAAACGTGTGTGCTTTCCAGTGATCTTGTCCGGTAACCCAGGAAACCCAGGAAAATATTCCTTCTATTTTATTCATCATTATTCATGTGTTATTGTGGTGGTACTGATGTGTTATTGTGTTATTATAACACCAAGAACATTCTCAGAATACAATAACACATAAATAACACCACAATAACACATGAATATTACAGAATAACACGGAAATAATATTCTCCTGTGCTAAAATTATTTATTTTTTTTTAAATTTTTATGTCGACTTCACGTGATCATTTAATTGAACTCCAAACTAGCTCTAATTTAGGGGCTTTTCATATTTACATGATCTACTGATATTACATAAAAACATCACTATCACTTAACTTTCTAAAAATGAAATACACATTTTCACGTGTAAAAAATTTTTGCACCAAAATGGTCCAAATGTAAAAGTTGCAGGTTTAGGGACCAGACTTGGGAAAAAATAAGAACCGTGTGTGTAAATTTCCCTAAGACATATTTTTAAAATAGACAATTTATATTTCCATTTAAGAAACAGCGCTGTCTCGGCCACCGACAGATCATACTGTAGCAACTGCGAGATGAAATCATGACAATAGAGATTTGAACTGTCGAGAGTAGAAAGAGCAAGATATGTTAAGGAGTTCTTGTCTTCGAACAGTATTTACCAAAAACAGTAAATCGAAATCAGTAAGTTTAGAATGGATTAAAATATCAGAGATCAAGATTTATGACATAAATTACTACAAAAATTCAAAAAAAAATGATGGGATTTATTTTTTTTTAACAAATTTAATCAACAAAAATACTGTTCATCGAGATTAAAGCTGATTGTAAAACTTCAAAAAATGGAGCTAAAACGAGATTGAAATTGGCAGTAGGATTGACATTCAGGAACACAAATTTATCTCGCAAGATTTTATATAAATTATAGTTAAATCCTCATTGAATCTTGCAAATCGCCCCTAAATTTGGATCTGCAGAACAAACTAAATTCTCTGCGCAGAACTTCCATGCTATATAAAACCCTTTCTCGATTTCCGCAAATTTTTCAAGTGTTACAGTTAACAAGGAAAACCCTAAAAAGTTTTTCTTCTTTTTCAGAGATAAAACAGCACGATTATTAATCTAACCTGCACAGCGCAGTCATGGAAGATGTTCCTGAGCCAGGAGAACGCTGTGTTCTTATGGCGCTTGTAGAGAAGCTTCACCTGTTCCCTGATAATGTCCTCCGCCTGAGGGCAGGACTCCTTGTAGAAATCCATCACAAGATCAGAGGAGTTTTGGCCATTCCCAATGGCCGAGAGAAGAAAGAGGGCGAAGAAAATCAAAGCTAAGGAGGAGGAAGAAGAAGGAACCATCTCTGCTTCTTCACTTCAGGATCCTTGAGTTGAGTGGGATCTATGAGCTTCAGCTATGGCTTCTTGGCTTCTTAAATAAAGAAGAAAAGGAAGCAGAATAAAGCGCAAAGATAAGATAAAAAAAAAGGAGCATTTACATCATGTCATAAAATTTTTATATATTTATATTTTAGAAAGAAGTATTAAATCGGTTAGAGCTAAGTTCAGAGTCTTTTAATATGCACATAAACGATTTTAACGGTCCGGTAACACAGAAGAATATTTCTCTTATATTATTTTGCGTTATTCATGTGTTATTGTGATGATATTGATATGTTATTATGTTATTATAATATCGAGAATATTTCCATAATATAATAACATATGAATACTGACTTAATAACAACTGAATAATATTGAATAACACAAGAGTAATATTTCACTGAGCTAAATCGATTCTTTTTAAAATTTTTCTGTCTTCTCAATGTGTCCGCATATTAGTGGACTCCGAACGTAAGTTAGGAGCTCTCTGATGTAATATTTTTTTTCCATATTTTAGGGAATTTTACATACATGCCACCCAATTTCTATATATTGATATATATATAAATTTTAATTTTAAAGTTTATATATAAAATAACACAATTTTAACTTCAAAATAAAATACTACTTTCATACATATATAATGAGACAGACTCATGTTGATGTAAAAATTAAACTTTTAGTATTAAATATGAAAATACTTATATAATAATTAAGTGTTAGGTATGTATTTTTTTTAATTTTATTATTTATATGTAGTAATTCAATTGTTAATATCATATTAAAAATATCCTTATAATTAATTTCTTTCAAAAAAATATTCATTTTCCATTAATAAATAGAAAAATTAAATACATATGACAAAATATTGTATTTAACACTTAAAATTTAGTATTTATATTTATAATATTTAAGTATGCATAAATATGAGGATTTATATGTAAGATTCTTAGATACTCAAAACAATAAATTTATAACACCAAATATTATAATATAAATAACAAATTTTAAAGGTTTAAAATTATATAAAAACAATAAAAAAATTGATGATAGAGAATTAGTGATGATTAACTAGATAGTTAAATGATAAGCATAGCATTTTAAAATGTTAGAAATAATAATTTTTATAAATAATATGAAAGATTTGTGGGCATATATATAAATATTAAAATTTTGATGTTAAAAATGTAAATAAATAAGAATTAAATGGTATGAATATAAATGCCCTTTAAACAAAATATGTGATGAATTTATAATTTTAAAATTCTTTTTTCTTAGAGTTAAGGGTCAAGTCCAGGCCTTATTTAAAAAAAAAAAAAAAAAAAAAAAAAGAGCAAAAACTCAAAAACTCGTAATAATATGCAGATCTGAAAAAATAACCAAAACTCACCTAAAGAAAACAAATTTTAACAAAACTAGACAACAATGGAACAATAAGTTCAAAGCTAAACAGTATCAACAACACTAAGAGTCTGTTTGGGGCAGCTGTTGATTATTTATAATCTGCTGATAAGCAGATTAATCTGATAATCTGCAGATTATCAGAATAATCTGGCTTGTTGTTTGGGCAGCTTATCCAGAATAGCTTATGGGTAGTTATGGTTGTATAAATGACATTCTTACCCCTATATGGTAATGAAAGTAAAGCCACTGTAGTTAACGAAGCAATGAAAACCAAGCAGAGTAAACAACAGACAAAAGAAGCTAATGAAAACCACATTAATGTGAGATTGTAGAGTCAAGAAGACCAAGCAGAGTAAACAACAGACAAAAGAAGACATGTGAAAGCTGAACTTGGCCAGTTTGACAAGAAATGAAACAAAATCAAGTAATGAATACCATCGACATCTAGAAATGAGAAGCTAATGAAAGTTGTTGTCCCCTGCGATTCTCACGGGACATCTGGTCTGTATATCTGCGATTCTCATGGGAAGGGAAGGGAAGATCTGTGAAGGATCCCACGGGAAGGTTCAGACGATATGCTCGAACAGGATCTCGGGCGGGAAGGGCTGCCACACCAGCGGGATCTCAGGGATGAGAGGCGATGCGACGAGCGAGAGGGGGACCGAGCGGGATCTCACAGATCTGCGATCCTTGAGGCGATGCGACAAGGGAGAGGATCTTCGATCCCTGACGCGATGCGGCGAGGGAGAGGGGGACCGAAGAGGGGCACGACAGAATTTTTCCACTCTAACGCACAAAGTGAACGAGGGACGCAAAGGGGGCAGAGCTTTCACGATAGGTGTTATTCCTCTTATTATCGTGTATCAGCGATACGAAAAATGTTGGAGCGAACGCACGATCCAAATGCCATTGTGACGTTTTCAAACCGCCACCGCTCCCAATAAGTTGCCCCAAACGGGCCCTAAGAAACTTCTACAACAAAATAATGCAAGGAAAATAAAAAGGTGCATCCACTCTAGTTGAAACCATAGAAGATTAAACACCTAAAAATCCATCAAAGATGCACCAATGGACAAGGAAGAGCTTTCAAGTGCCTCTAAGTATCATTCACCAAGGATTAAAGAAGTAGGTAGTAGAAGTAGTATCGCATCCACATTCAAAGCTTGAAGCATGATTGATTCCACCAAGGACTTGTAGAATCATCAGCAGTCAGCATCCAATATTGTTGAGAAATTAAGGCAAAGAAAAATAGGAATCGACACAAATACAAAAGAACACACAGATTTACGAGGTTCGGCAAAGATGTCTACATCCTCGGGAGCAGAGTGGTGACTTCATTTTTAACATTCGGAAAATAGTGCAGAATACAAGATTCAGAATCTCGGAGTCTCGGAAACTCACCTTGGGTTACAAACATGACATATATAAACCCCTATAGTACAATATGTAATTACTTAAATTAGCCTTGTACCAAACCGCGGGTGTTGCCCCCGCACCCCCAACCCACATGATGAAACTCCCCGGATTAGACAGATCCTTCCGCTCCACTCCGCTCCGCTCCAGCAACTGTCTCATTTATGGTATATGAGTCATACCTAACAAATATTATCCATCAATATTCAACAGAGAATCATATAAATAATAAAAAAGAAGAAATATATATATATTAGAGCACGATTTGAAATAAATAATGGGAGCCGAAAAAATTAAAACTCAAGAGGAAAAGAAAGAATTCATGTAAAATGGGAGCCGAAAAATTCCAATACCTCATGAAACCCTAAAATAAAAAGGAAGGAAGAACAAAAAAATGATAGGAATTTCCAAACAAAGAAAAACTAGAGAGAAACATTTAAACCTTAAAGCGAAGTTCGAATCACTACATCTTCCTCCCATCTTAAGAACCCATTTCCAATCTTTTTAAAGTATTATAAATATAAATATTAAATTATAAATAGTATAAATATAATATATTTAAAAAAAGGCACAATTTCATACATACCCCCTCCAAATTTATTATTTACAAATCTACTATCTTGTTTCATTCATTTTTCAAATTTCCACTCAAATAATAAAATTTATGAAAAAAAATTAACTCGTTTTTTTTAATTTTTATCAAATTTATGTCGTAATGATTATTTTATAAATATTAATATTAAAAAATAATTATAAAAAAAAAAAAGAGTGGCAGAGAACTTGTGACAGGTCACGGGGTAGTATGATAATATAATGTGGCCGGTTGTGGGGGGGGCCCCCCTCCCGGCCTTCCCCGCCCGCG